TACCTCTAATAAACTACTCAGAAAAAAGCCAGAAGTGGAGCTGTGGCTGAAGTGGTTGAGTGCTAATCTTGAGCACAAAGAGGCTCAGGGACAAAGCCCAGGCCAGGATTGGCACAAAGGAAAAGAAAAAACCAAAACAAAAACAGCAACAAAGAAAAAAAAAGACCTCTTGTTTCTATTTCCTGGAGTTCATTTCAATAAATATTATTTTGTGATGACCCCCTCCCCCCAAAAAGAAAATAAAATATGAAATTAGAAACAGAACAAAATTATTGATTTTTAAGAATAGGGCCAAACTCGAAAGGCAGGATCTCCCTTTAGAAAACAAAACAAAACAAAACTCAAGGCTAGTCATTAAAAGGGAAAATTCCAAAGCTAAAGGCTTGATGTAAATTAGTGAGCTAAACACCCAGTTATTGGAATTCAGTAAGTAGTAGTAAAACAATCAGTATCCACCATAGGGATTCTCTGGACCAGGGGCGACCCAGAAGTTTTGAGAAAACAGATATACCTGGCCTCAAAACCAGGAACTGCCCTTTGCTGAAAGGGGTATTTATGGTTTCAGTTGTTTCAAGAATGTTTGTGATTTATGTACTTGCAAAATAACTGCTAAATTCTGCTACCCGCTTGCTTGCATCTATTCTAAAAGAATGCATCTTTTTGCCTTTATAAACCCTGAGCTATTTGAGTTTCAGGCTGTTTACTCCTGAGCTGAGTTAGCCCCGAATGGTCAATTGAATAAACTCCAACTTAGAAGACACTGGTTAGGGCTGGGAAGGTGGCTCAGTGGTAGAGCGCTTGCCTTGCATGCCTGAAGCCCTGGGTTCGATTCCCCAGCACCACATAAGCAAAAAGAAAAAAGGCCGGAAGTGGTGCTGTGGCTCAAGTGGTAGAGCGCTAGCCTTGAGCTGAAGAGCTGAGGGACAGCGCCCAGGCCCAGAGATCAGGCCCCACAACCGGACCCCCCCCTCAAAAAAAAAAGACACTGGTTAGCATCAGGTGCACATAGGCATTGCACCTTTGTGCTCCTCTCCCAAGAGTATCGTCCTTTGAAGTCTTACTGCATGTGAATGCTTAGAGTCCTGTATAATTTATCATGGTCTAGCTTCCACATATCAATGTTTCTTTCTTTTTTTTTTTTTTTGTCGGTCATGGGACTTGAACTCTGGGCCTGAGCGCTGTCCCTCAGCTCTTCAGCTGAAGGCTAGTGCTCTACCACTTGAGCCACTATGCCACTTCCGGTTTTCTGGTGGTTTATTGGCTTTGAACCGCGATCCTCAGATCTCAGCCTCCTGAGTAGCTAAGATTACAGGCATGAGCCACAGGCTCCTGGTCCAGTGTTTTCTTTTGAGGTGATGAAAAGTTCTAAAATTGAGCCAGATACTAATGGCTGATGCCTGTAATCCTAGCTAATCAGAAGGCTAAGATCTGAGGATTACTATTCAAAGGTAGCCCAGGTAAAAGCCAGACCGAAGTGGAGCTGTGGCTCAAGTGGTAAAGCACTGGTGTTGAGCACAAAAGGGCAGGGACAGTACCTAGGCCCTGATTTAAACCCAGGACCAACACACACACAACACGTACAACACACACACACACACACACACACACACACACACACACACACATACACCATCACACACCATCATACACACACAAATATAATACTAAAAAACTCAGTGGATTTTATACTTTTAATAGTTCCATTGCATGGTACAAGAATTGTATTTCAAGAAATATTTTTAAAAAGAAAGCAACAGCTGCCTGTTCCAGCTAATTTTCTCATCAAGTCAGTGTTTTAAAATGACACACTTTCTGTTTTTGGAGTGTGGGGTGTATGTTTATTTTGAAAAGGTAAGTTTCTTATTCCTTCTGAGCAATATAAAGCAAAACAGGATATCAAAGATGAACGGTTGACATTTTATCTTTTCTGACAGAATCTTGTTTTTTCCCAAGGAATTGTTTTGATGACATTTCTTTTCCGTCCTTGACAACACTTCCGAGAAAATATTTCCATCTTGGGAATTCATAGAAATGGGCAATTAGAAGCTGCCTTTTTTCATTGAATTCCATGCTGTCTTCAGAGTCTGGGAGTGTGTTACTACAAAATGTTGAAGGCACTGAGGAACATGTCTGCTCAGGTGTCAGGCTTCCTTCTTTGCCTTTTTCTTCTATCTAGGATCTTGTAGTAGCTCTGAGACCCAATTTTCTCTCTCTAACTCCTTGCTGTTGGTGATGGTTGTGGGGCTTGAACTCAGGGCCTGAGCACTGTCCTCGAGCTCTTTTGCTCAAGGCTAGCACTCTACCACGTTCAGCCACTGCTCCACTTTGGGTTTTTTGGTGGTTAATTGGAAATAAGAATCTACGAACTTTCCTGCCCTGGCTGGCTTTGAACCGTGATCCTCAGATCTGAGCCTCGTAAGTAGCTAGGATAATAATGGGCATGAGGTGCCTCCCTAATTATTTAAAATGCTGGGTACTGTGCTTAGTTTTTCTGCCCTTGCATGTTCTGTCTGGACAGCTCTGTGTTGTTAGTAATTGGCAACTTCCTTAAGAGGAAGTTCAGGGAGACGTGTTGGGAACACCCCAATGGGTTCCCTTCTCTGATGAGCTAGATCCTGCAGTCTTGGCTTCTCCCACATGCTTTAATATGAGTTTATTTCTTTACTTTCTCATACTTTCCTGCTAGTTCTCAGCCAGACAGTTTTGTCTGTAGTAAGACATTGTGCCAGTACTGAGATTTGGACTCCAAACTCATATAGGAATTTCTAACACTTAGTCTTTTTTTTTCTTTTTATTAAAAAAAAAACTTTATTAAACAAAAGGGTTATAGTTCTAATTATCCTGGAGCAACTCCTTGTTTTAATCTGGCATATTTGTGTGTGTTTTTTTCATTTTATTGTTTTTCTCTCTGCGTTAGTCTAGATAAGGGTTTATTTCTCTTATTAAAAATACATTGATTATGTTCATATGTTTTCTAAATCATTAGCACTCTTCTTTTTCTTGCAAAAAGAAGAGTGGAAAAATTTTCCATCATGCATACATTGCTTATTTTTGTTATTTTTTTTTAATGATTTGTCCTTTGATGACTTATAATTGCTTCCTTCATTAGTACTGATTTTCATTAGTTTGCTCTTTAGTTCACAGATGAAAAATATGACAAATTCATGGAGGCTCCAGAAATAGAGACGTACAGAATTATGGAAAGCTGTGTTTTTATTCTTCGATCTAGTCAGGGATGAACAGATATGTAGGAATGTCATTTGGCAGCAAGCAGGTATGATTTAATGATAATCACCTTGGTGCAAGGTAATAATAAATGGTCATCATCAAGAGCTGTTTGTGTCAAATCTTCATGGCTTCTCTGAGGAACAATCTTCCTCTGATTATGGGACAGGACAGCCTATCACTTGAGGGACTTCAAGACAGGTCAGAGACACCTTCTCCCATCCTCTATCACACATAGCATACCTAGGAACACATTTGGGGTAACAGTTTCTATGACCTCCCCTCCCCCCCAATGTACTTTGGAGATAGGCTTGAATATTCATAGGTTTTTAAATACTTTAATAACTGTGACAGTTGATATTTTACTATCACTATTCTTCACTATTCTAGTTTTTAGATATAGTCTGTTGTTGTTGTTGTTGTTTGTTTGTTTTTTGGTGGTGGTGGTAGTGCTAAGAACGGAACCCAGAGCCACTTTACCACTGAGTACCACCCTCAACTCATGTAGGCCTGTTACTTTAACATACAAATTGGTTGGATCAAAAATAGTTGGCTTTTCTGGATAAATGCCCAGGAGTAGAATTGCTAGATCATAGGGTAGTTCTATGTTTAGTTTTTTTGAGGAGCTTCCATACAGCTTTTCAGAGTGGCTGAACAAGTTTACATTTCACCAACACTGTTTTAAAGTTCCCTTTTGTCTGTGTGCTCAGCAGCATCTGTTATTGATAATGGTCATCCTAACTAGGGCGAGATGGAATCTCAATGTTGTTTTGACTTGCATTTCCTTTATAGCCAGAGATGTTGAGCATTTCTCCAAGTGTCTATTGCCCATTTATATTTCTTCTGAGAAGTCCCTCTGTAGCTCTTTAGCCCATTTATTAATTGGAGTGTTGTTTCTTTGAGAGTTTAGTTTTTAAGCTCTCTGTATATTTTGGATATAAATAAGGCCATTGTCTGATGAAGAGTAGCAAAATTCTTCTCCCTTTCTGTAGATTGTCTTTTTAGGATGTTAGTTATGTCCTTTGCCTTGCAGAAACTTTTAAGTTTGATGCAATCTGTTTATGAAGTCTGTCTTTGACTTGCTGTGCTTCTGGATCTTTGCTCAGAAAGTTCTTACCTGTGCCAAGGAGTCCTAATGTTTCTCCTCCTTCATATAATAGTTTCATGGTTTCAGGTATTATCAGGATACAGTAAAGCCACTAGCCCAACCATTGTTCATTGTACCACTATTCACCATAGCCAAGGTATAGAATTAGCCCAGATATCCCTCAATGGACCAATGGATCAAGAAAATGTGATTTACATAC